GGGGTGGAAACATGTATAATTATCGGTCTATCAGGCAGTCTTGACACATTCGGAGGTAGGAGAAATGGGTTCACTTGGTTTTTCAACCTCACCCTTCTGATCGTTCTTTTTCAGCTCAGCTGCAGAAGCTTTCACATTATCAGCCGCATCCTTCTGATCGTTCTTTTTCAACTCAGTAGGCTGCTCCCTTGACAACGGATCACCTACAGTTGCTTTCACTGCCTCTATAAAGGACTTCACTACAGTACCAATTTCGTCTCTAAAAGCCCGAAATTCGTTCTCCATTTTCACAACCCGGCTCATTAGCTCATTATCTCTAGAAGCAGCATCACCCATTGCGACTCTAAATTCTTGACCAAATTTGTCAATTCTACCCTCCATGGTACTAAACTGAGCATCAATACGCTCACAGAGAAGCAGCTCATCCCCGTCGGGTTTGTGCCGTTTCCCGTCTCTTTTTTCCCGTTTCCTTGGAGGTGATTTCAAACCGGCATCCTCAAATGATCTTTTCCCCGAACTGCTGGAAACCTATAAATTAATTAAAAAGGGAACCAAATGTACCATTACCATTAGCATACTATCAGTCTTACCACTTTTGTTAACAATAACTCCACGTCTCCGCTCCCCCAACTCATCAAATCCAACTCCCATCAATGGTTTGGAAAATACCATTTGCATGCTCCAAGAATATTAACTACAAAAAAATACTATAATCAACATGATGATTAATCATTACAAATATGTAGAAAGTAGGGATTAGCAATTATTTACCTCCAAAAACAGCAAGCAACCCGGTATATACTTTCTCCCACAAGCATTATGGTCGCAGATGCATTTGACCAATTCATTGAAGCAAAAGGATGCCCAATTCTTCTTCGGAATGTCCGCAACATCAGTGACAGCGTATACCGAAGACAAGGAAATGTCATCTCTTCTAGTTGGTACTAATAGCACCCCCATTACGTACAAAATAAACGTTTGAAGAAATAGATCGCCGCTATCTTTCATCTTCGACAACGCCTTCTGCATTAAGCTTGTGGAAATCGCCTGTCGGCCACAATCAGGTGTCGAAAACACTCTAAATGGTTCCAGTTCCTCGGATCTTCCTCCCACTTCTTCACCATTCAAGATGATATCAGTACCTCCCTCAGGCACGCCCATAATTCGCTCGAAATCTTTGGCCGAAATATGCACTTTCAACCCATACGCCTTAATTGTGCTTTCTTCCATATTAAAGCTCTTCAAAAGTTTCTCCAACAACTCACGTTGTAGCATTCTTCCTTTGACTTCAAGAATACGACCAAAGCCACATCTCTTAATGGCCTCTGATTGACAAGCCTCTAAATTTGAGACTAGTGAGAATACTTTCCTAGGAGAACATCGCGTGCTAAAAATTTCATGCCTCTTCGTCTTCATTATAGAACAATTTTAGCAAACTGCAAAATTAAAACAACAAAAAAATTATAAGCATGCCTTGAAACACGAATTATAAGCATGCCGAAGAGTACAAACAAAATACAAGTTCTAACTACCAGAAGAACTGAAAACCCCCTGCATCAACACTTGAGTACACTAATTAACCATGAAATCCGCCATTGGCATATATAAATTTCACCCAAAACACCCCGCTTTCATTTCATTTCACCCAAAATGCAAATTCTCACGGCCGTGACATGACCCGTGACAAGCAAAGAGTAGTTTTTCATATCCCCAGACAATCTCACGGCCTTGGCTTCATAAATCACGGCCGTTAAAATAAGCCGTGAAACTAAAAACACCCAGAATTCACTAAACATTCTCACGGCTAATTCTGGAAATTTCACAGCCGTAACATCTTTTCATTAGATAAGCAAAACAGAAGAAAAGGTTTAATCATCTATTCACAGGCGATCTTACCAAGCAAAAGGACAAGGTTTGTCCCTGATCAAATCGTATAATCATCTATTTTCAACTACAGTGACCAACTTGTTTATATAAAACCAGTACAAACAAATATAGTTGGGTATTTCTGAGTTTCAAAATAAAGGTTGTGATGCTTGTTGATGTATTCAGAACTACTATTTGCTTGCAATTATGGCTTTAGCTTATGGTTGTTCTCCTTAGTCATTTTAGCTACCAGATTCATATCATATCAAAATCCAAGGCTAGTTCAAAAAACATATTTTAGAGATTGTAATAAACAAACAAAAAGGTTTAACCTGGAAAATCAGATACCATGCCCCTGTTCTTTTCTTCTGTTTTGTTCTAAGGCTCCCTTCTACATCTAAACCCGCCCCTGTTCTTTTGGACAAAAATCAGAAACCACACACAACTTACAACTTTTGAGAGCTAAATAACATGACCACGAGCATAGCCACTAAGCTTTCCATAACCCATGACACCACCATAAACACTCGCTCTATTTCCATCCAAACTGGCTAAAACTGAAGTCACCCTGATTTCATGAAATAGTTCTTGACTAACACACTCAATTGCACCTTTCATGCAGCCAAGCAAGACCCTTCAATTAACAGTCCAAAATGTAATCAACAAGAAACGGTAACGACACTACAAACTGAAAAGAATCAAACTTTGAGTATGAACTTTCCTATTCGATTTGCCTCCATAAAACACAAATCAAGTCTCTCCAATCAAAAAGTTAATACTGGCATTCATAAAGGAAGGAACACAATCGCTAGCTAGGTCAGATTGGAGCAACTTTTTTTGAGATCACGCATGGTTGAGATTGCATCACAATCTTGCACCAAGGTTCACTTGATGAATCACGGCATAACCTATCAATTGCATCACAATCTTGCTCTAATAGTAAACTGAAGTACTAATCACATAAACGTAGACGGAGCCAGCATTCAAACGAAATAAAAAGCTCAAATGAATGCAAAGAATCACATAAGACTAATGCTTTAGTTCACATCAACACAAAAGCTCATGCAAAGAATCACAGAAGACAAATGCTTCGATTACCCTTTTCTAGAATACATCCACACAACAAGCATACTACAAGTAGTTGCTAGCTTAACCACAATGGGAACATGATTAGGACTCCTCTCCCAGGGCTCACAAAGACAAGATGAATCGCATGCTTGGAATGACGATTATGTAACTCAAAAAGGCAATAGCTCTCTCGACACGTGCAACTCACACCGGTTTTCCAAGTGAAATAGAGTTTCCATTTATGAAAAAGTAAAAAAAAAAGTTTCCAAAACTAATTTATGATATCATTTTCATGAGATAGCATTTATCTATGGTGGAAAACCACATAAAGAACACATGATCTTTGCTTGGTTCATACATGCTATTTCCTAGGCTCTTTCACCAAGTGTAAGTTTTCTTGGTGACAAGCATTTTCCTCTTTGGTACATGATTAGATTGTTCACTACCCAGCAAGGCAACCACAACCATGCACAACTCTCCCTTCAAGCTTCAATGTGTAAATCGACTCACAATGAACTTTAGTAGCAGGAAATCTATGGCTGTATGGTTAATGGAGGAGCAACCAACAACCACATTACACCACGTTGCTTTGACAAAGACCTCTCTGCCCATATGAAAAGAAGCTTTTTGGAATTGACAACATGTTCCTTCCCACTGGAGACACAGCCACACCAAGGAAAATAGACCAGCAGAAGTAGAACATGCTACTTATCATGACAAGTTTAGAATCAACCAACTCACCCCTAATTCTGTAAACAATAAGATGGTCTACAAGATGAACTACAATGGCTTTCATAAGGATTTCGATCAACATCGACCTACATCTATGAGGTCCACAATTAAACCAATACCAGGACATCAACAAGCAGGTCCCATATGTGAATTGATAGTTTGCTTTGACACTAAATCAGTCAATATATAGCTAATTATCAAGCTAAACACAAAGAAGATACTACAAGGACATCAACCTGGTAAAAGGACATGACCAATTAAACTCATAAACCTAAAACGAGCATGGAATTTCAATCCCCCTACCGAAATTTGTAAATCTAGAACATCCCAATATAATCCCTAAACTGATAGCCCTACTAACCGGAAAATTGAATAAAATTGTAGAACTGTAGGCATACTAACCGGAAAAAGTTGCGGTGGAGGAGGTAGGTCAGCGGTCTTCGTTTGCTATCAATGGGAATAGGGGGTTCTGTGCAGGGTCTTCGTTTGCTATCGATGGGAAGAGGGGGTTCTGTGCAGGGTCTTCGTTTGCTATCGATGGGAAGAGGGTCTTCGTTTGCAATCGACGAAGAGATGCTCGCTCTCGTCGTCCCCTGCTCGCCGCCTTCACTGTCGTCGTCGGAATCCGGATCGCCGCAGTCAAAGAGATGCCGCAATCGACAAGCTTCTTCTACTCGTCGTCACCCACTGCTCGCCGTCTTCACTGTCGTCGTTAGAATCTGGCTCGCTAGCTGCGTGGAGAGGATCGAAGGAAGAGGATCGAAGGAAGAATGGTTTCGGCGGTGAGAAGAGGTGAGAAGAAGGTTGCGTGGTGAACTGGTGATAAGAGAATTCCTAAAAAAATTTCAGACAACCGGTTGTACCGGTTGTCCACACACAAATAAAATAACATATTAATAATTTAAATAAAATCTAATGGTTGATATAGTTTGAACATAATCTAATGGCTGTAAATGTTTTATAGCACCAATACTATAAAGCACACTAAAATGCCTCTTAGTATACATGTACCCCTGTGGTTTAGTAGGCCCAGCTGTAGCTCAAGCGACACGTGGACTGAAGTTCCCTGGGTTATCAAATAAAAAAAAACATTATGATTTCACTATAATTCATTTTCATCCGGTAGAAGATACATCAGGTTTAGGTTTATGTTATTATCTTATATATTTCCTGCAATTAACAATGCCCTGCCGTGATAGGTTTACATATGATATAAGTCACTGTCTTGATATTATTTTCTTCAATTAACAAAACCTGGCCTAACTTCTTTCATAGAATCAAACCTTGCCTAATTTAAACAGGACAAAACAATTAATCTTTTTTATAAAAAAACCCACAAAACCAAACCCACCAATCGTTCGCACTTTGCAACAAATTATTTCCCTTTCTCATGGAAAAAATTCCAAAAAACAAAGAGGAATTTTGTTTTTGGATAGAATATGAGTCAGCAATTGGCGACGAGCCGACGACCCAATCGTAACGCCCTTTCCTTGCAAAATTGCCCATTTCTCCCAATGAGATTAACCTCAACAAGGAGGGCAAAGTACGCGGCACGCCGATCTACACAAACGCCACATCACCGCCCGTCTCCGCACAGCCATAACAGCAATCGACCGACCCCTTCTTCCCATTTTCTTCGCCTCCTTTCCCTCGCACTCGATTTTATCCAAAACACACTTCAAGATACAAGCTTGGAAGAAGGCCGGAGCAGAAGAGCAATCCTCTAGCTACCCGGATTTTCCTTCCCACAACCCATTTTCCCTTCCGCCGGAGCATGATGACTTGGGATGGCTTCGACGATCCTCAACCTCATCATCGTCATGATCACCATCAGCCCGACGCCGGCGACGACCACCAGGACGCTTACCTCAATTTCGATTTCTTATCTCTCGTCTCCAAGCCCCAGGTCCTTCATTCAACTTCCCCATTCACCTTTTGACTTCTGTAGGGGAATTCTAGGGTTGTGCTTTTTGCCGTGTGGGCTGATTTTGGGCATTTTCTGAAATGCAGGACTACTATAAGATACTGGAAGTCGACTACGATGCTTCGGAGGATGCTATTCGTGCCAATTATATACGCCTCGCCCTGGTTTGTGTAATTTCAATTTTACTTCCACAAATTCGCTTCAATTTTACTTCTGGGGAATAGGGTCTTGTAATTTCCCGTCGGTTGCTGGTCAATGGGGGAGAGTTGGTGGTTGTTGGTACCCTGGTGAATTGATTGAATGCCTTGCTTTTTTCCCGGGTTCCTTCGTTTGTGGGGTTGTAGAAATGGCATCCAGATAAGCAGAAGGACCAGGATGATGCTACTTCTAGATTTCAAGAAATAAATGAGGCATACCAAGGTTGGTCCTCGTTTCCTTCTTTAATCTACTTGCTTGCATTGCTTTCTGCCCCTCGTCAATTTTTGGGTTTCTGCATTTGCGGGTTGTAGAAGTGTCACATGTTGAGGCTTATGGGTTCTCTCCTTTTTGGCTGAATTTTAATTGCAACATTAGAAGGTTCTGTGTGTGCCTACTGGCACATGGTTTTGAAGCGGAGGCAACTGATGTGGTGCCACGGTAGTGGGTTTTGTGTATAATATGGTGTACATAGTGAATCTTAGACCCCCTGCATCTTTTTTTATTTTCTCCCTTTCTTTGTTGTTTGCCAAGGGAGCACATATGTCTTTGTTCCCTTCAAAGGAGTAGAATTGTCACGCTTACAGATGAACTCCTGGCAAGACCCACCCTGCTAACTAGCTCTTGAACTTTTGGGCTGGTAAATGAGTCTTGACTTTTATTGTTGCAAGAGGAAGGAGTTGCCAAAGTTCTCTAACTACCGGTATCGGTGGACATATAAAACGTGGGACAGTATGGTTGTTTATATTGGTTTTGGTGAGTAGCAAATGGTACACTTTTTCAGTGTTTTTGCTGTATTGAGGAACTCAATATTGCCTAAGTTGGAAAAAATAGAAATTTGAATGAGGGTGAGAGGCCTAATCCGAATGTCTCAACCATATTAGTTAGAATCTTGGAAATCGGAGTTGCTACTTCCCAGAAGTTGATGGAGCCAAAGGGCTGGGCTCTCATGCAGAATTCAAGTGTTACATAACCAATCTGTTTTATTGGAGGAAAAGCAGTAGTTTTTAACAATACCCAAGGTTAGTATGGTTCTAGGTTTGATAATCTCATGTAGGTGTGAACAAAGCTAGTACTGAAGGAGAGGGACTGATGGCTCTTAAACTCATTATCCAAAACCAAATATCTGAACACACTTCATAAGTTATAAGTTTGAGAAGCCAATAGAACTATGTATTCACCTAGCCTGTGTGTTCTTACAGAATCTAGTGCCTTTTGACGTAAAGACTTATTGTAAAGTAGGAAAATACCCCTATCAGGAACTTCATTTAAGCTTGAACCTTCCTGCTTCGTCCCGTAACATGTTATATAATGGCTCTACAAACTGCCCATCCTCAGTCCTGCACGATGATTGGTTCTGACAAGTCTTGCATCCTAGGATGAAAATGACGTCGGGTGTCACTGGTAGTGTTTCATGGATGTTTGAACTAATATTTCTTGAGAATACAAATTGCTTTGCACAAAAATTACAGTTATCTCTCCTTTTATATATATTATGCATCAAAGGGGCTAAGAGTTTGTGATTAAACATGTACTCCTTCACAGTGTTGGTTTTATTGTTTGGTGCCATTTGTGGTTTAGCAAAATTTATGTAACTAATGTTGGAGCTGAATTCGAGTCCGGAATTGAGGATATTGGGTTTCAGGCTTGGGGCTGTGCACAGGTTTTGCCATTGTAAAGAATAAAAAGTATTAATTTTTGTTTATATATAGAAAGCATAATGTTCTTTGGAACAAAGATGTCTTTAAGTTTCAATCCTACATAAGAATTAGATTACACAACATTAGCAGCAATCTCTACTGGGCAGTTCTTCTCTCAAAATTCTGTAAAGAAGCCTATAACAAGGTAATTAAAGAAAACAACTTGAACTAATACCTTGGCTAAAATTATTAGTGCTAAATGACCAGCTAGCTTCTTCGAGAACTATTATAATGAAACAGAAAGAAACTCGTACTCTGGAACTCTTATAATGACAAACGTCAAACGAGTTTCTAACGGCAAGTAATTCTGATAAATTGAATTAGAGTTAGTAAAGTCTTTCTAGATATTCTGCTGTCAAATTACCATGAGGTTGAGAAGTTACATAATTTCTGGTTTTCTTAGATCACGCGCCTTGTATAGTTCTCACATGATGCATGATACTTCATTGGTTTATTTGTTGACTTCCTTATAACTTATCATTCTTGATTGGCTGTTTGATGTAGTTCTTCCCACTTTCAAGAGAACTTCAGAGCGGATGTGACAAATGAAGCTCTAAGTTGTAGTTGCAGTTGCCTGCTTTGATGTGTTGTCAAAAAATACCTGAAAGTTTTTTTGTTTTTTGTTTTGACCATAATGCTCTTTAAGTGAGAAGTTCTAATGCCATTGGATGTTTGCTCATGCTAAGAACATGAAAAGAGAACTAAGAAGAGGGAGAGGAGAAGTTATTTGAATCTAGTTGGCATTTCCTGTTAGACTTGTTCATATTTCATCTCCAACCTCAATAGTGTACATTATCATTTATTTGTATTTCCTTGTGTCAAGTTCATTGCCACTTCATCAATCATAACTGTAGTTAAGGATTGTTGCAAAGCGACAGTTCTCATTGCTTAGAAATCAGAAGGAACAGCATTTGTTTTGTATGATTGCTATCTACTTTGGCATTCTGACTTTATAATTTTTTTTATCATCTTGGTCAGAAAAGGTCTATTGTTTCAATTTCTGTCAAAAGAAGAACGATGGTTGTCTCAGGTTTTGCTAATTGTTGAAGCCGTTGATGTGTTGAAACAGTTTTAAGCGATCCGGAAAGGAGGAGAGAGTATGATACTGTAGGGATGTCACATGTCTACGACTATAACATTATAGTAAGGCTGCTTTTTCTTGACACCGTTTTTCTTCCTGTTATCTCCATTGAACTTCAATGCATTCAATTTCTTATCAAGGTTGTTGGATGCAGGAGTATCTTAACCGTTATAAGGGGCTCATACTAACATGTAACGGTCTCGGGATCAAGCAATCAATTTGGTGATCAGAAAAATGGTATGTGGAAACTGCAATGGACATCCTGTGCTGTCTTCTTCCTTACCTAATGCTATGAGGTATTGTTTTTTTCGGGTGATCATTGTGGTGGGCAGAAGGGAGAAAGACTAGCATGTTTTTGGATGTACCAATGTATCAGGGAAATGTAATCCCATTTGTATAGAAAATGCACAAAATAGTTCACCGTCGTAACTTGGTCAATATCAAAGCTCCAGCCTTTTTTTATATTCTTTATTTATGCAGGGTAGTTTCATACACCCTCCCAAGTCCCATTTGCTGCTGCTTCTTTCTAGGTTCAAAGGCCATGATGTGGGAACTTACAAAACATCAATCGAACTGGATGCATTGTTTCTGGAAATGTTTCTTCGGGCACATCCAATAAATTTGTTTCTGGAGATTAGGGGTGTGCAACGGTTTAGTCCGGATCGGATCAAACTTATGAGAACCGCGTTTCATTAGTGAAAGACATCTTAGGATTAAGGAGTGGACCATCATTGCATTCGACCCATTTGGTAAGGTTTGGTCTGATCCAAATATCAGTTCGGTCCCTAATTTCTTCAGTAATTGTAAAATTCATGTGGACCAAGAATCAGACTACATTATACTCGATCTGGTCCGGGCAGGTCCAAAGTTCGGTTTGTTCCGGTACGGTCCGGCCCCGGATCGGCCCATTGCACACCCCTACAAGAGATAGATCCGAATGAAACTAAGTGCCCAGTATTCATAGAAAAAGAAAAAGGTGCCCATTGTCCGGGTTGAAACATCTTTAATTAAATAAAACTTAGTTTTTGTTGGCAATATCGAGTCTTAAGCAAATGTTTGTGTCTGGCTGGGGGGTAGGAGCAGACATGCATGTCATGGAGGGTGCGAGTAGTTGTTTTAGCTTGTTTCTCACTTGTGAGAGAGGAAGAAATGCATTGAAAAAAGTTATTTGCAAAGACACGGTACACTGTTCGCCTAGACATGGAGTTACTGTTCATTTAGACTCAAAATTACTGTTCACCCTTCTCCCATTGGCTCATGGTCTGCGATTGGGCCCGACCGCCTTTTCTTATTGGCTGCTCGCCTGTGTGTGGGTCCAGAGTTTTTGTCCTCCATTGTTTATGTGTGCTGTGTTGCCCTCAACTGGACGCTCATTTTCCCTTCGCTTTTTGTTTTATTGATTTTTTTTCCTATACTTCTCTCAACCATTCCCTCTGGGGCCTTCTGATAATTATTACACCTTCTGATAATTATTACGTCGTCCTTATCTCTTTGTGAAAGTATCGTTTCCCCTTCCTTACGTTTCTCTCTGTGATTGGACCGGCAACTGACACACATTACCCTTACGCCTGCTTATTCTTGGGAGAAAACAACGCATTGGTCATAGGAAAAATAAATGGCCACGATTGAGTTGGGAAGCGATCTTGAGGTTCGGAAGAGTGATGAGTTGCTTGACAACTTGAGTGAATTATGAGAGAAAAGAAGGGTAAAATCCGGAGTGCATTGGGTGGAGACGAAAATATAACCCATCAGTGCATTTAGTTTCCCAGTATTTTCCTCTCTCCACTCTCTTCTCTCTGTTTTTTTTCTCACAGCCCCTCAGTAGCTTGGAGCGATCGACTGGAGAAGGAGAAGCCGAGAGAGGAATTGGAGGAGGCACAAATCTGCATGGTATATTTTCGCTATTTTGATGATTTGATTTCTTCTCTTCACTCGGATAAGTGCGATCTCTCTTTCTTTTTAACATCGATTTTTTTATCACCTTTTAGAGGAGGTTATCTGCTTTGAGTTCACAGTCAGGGAGGCCATCGATTTGTAACACGAAGCCAGCGGTCTAATGATCCATTGTTTGGATTGTAGATCCACGATGGAGATGATGCACGCCGGGGCGACGAGATCGATCGACGGGAACCTGATTGATAACCCTGATGGTTTAGGGTGAGGATTTGACGATTTTACATTGTCTCCCTCTTTTGTGATCTTTAGTTGCATATTCCTTTAACACTGGTCTCCGATTTTCTTCCCCTGTTCATCTTCAGTTTCACGATTTCTGACCTGTGAAAGCTCTTGGCAGTTCGTATGATCAGACAGTCGATTTTTCGAAGGAGATTCATGAAATTCAACGAGATTCATCATAGCCCCGAGCTCTACAATAGAGGAAATGCATCCTTCAGTTGCGTATCTCCTAGGTAAGATGTTCTATTGATCCTATGGATATCGTTCGTTTCCGATGCTCACTAACAGAGATTTTCCTGTTTTTGGTTAAGTGGTTCAGGGTTCCGTGAATCCTTCTCTCGCTCTTCGACAGTTCATTTTACATATGGATCTTCAGAAGCTATCTATCCCACAACATGACACGATGACAACCCTGAGCGATGTGGCTTGGAATACTACCGGTCCCTTTTTCTTTTCAATATATTGGTGAGACAGATCTGCCGATTCCAGTGTGATTCCGATATCGCTCTTTTGTTTTTAGGAAATGTAGATGCTGACTCCCTTTTCTTTTCCCCTTCTGTGGTGACTCATGGGGTGGCGGCAAGCGTGGGATGACAGAGCATATCACCCAAGCACAGGTAGTTTATCCCTCTGTTATCTATTTCTTTCATCCGGATTGGAAGCTCAAAGGAAGATCCCAAACTGCAAAACATGTCATTGTTTTCTCTGTTTACTCTGCTAATTATGTCTCTTTTGTCAATATGCTTGGCTATCTCTTATGTCATTGTTTTCTCTGTTTACTCTGCTAATTATGTCTCTTTTGTCAATATGCTTGGCTATCTCTCTTCCAAGCAGGTCTCTTTTTCATTTTCATTGGGCTGTCGAAGGAATTGAAATTGTTGAGGGATGAGATGTCGTCGCCGCAGAGAGGTAATGCTCGATTCCTCATCACTGGCTATGATCTCCCCTCTTGGTTTCCTTTGCACTCCTTTCACTTCAATTCTCATTTGACACATTCCCCCTTCTGATATATATCGTTCTCTTTTTCCAGATCAAAGCCAAATTGGGATGTGATGATTATGAATCGCGGAGTCAGATGATCCTTTGATCCAAGCAGTTAAGTTTTGTTGGAGTTTCTTTAGTGTGAGTTACGTTTTCCTGTGGCGTTTTGTTGTCTGCACGATTAGGGAGTCTTGGGAAGTCTTATATTGATTCTTAAACTTCTGTTTTCATTTCTGTGTCAGTTGAAGGTATAATTTATTGAAGAATGGTCATGTTGTGTCCTTTAATGGCTAATTCAGAATTAGAGGGTTTGGAGAAGGGAGCCTTACACTTAGAGAAAGGAGTCTTGCGTATGTCTGAACGCAATATCAGACCATGCTAGAGCAAATGCTGGTTGCATTTAGGCAATTTTGTGTTGACAGTTAGGGTGTCTTCTTAATAATCTGTGGGTTGTAAGTGATTTCAAGTCCATATTGTAATATCTCGGTGATTACTAATTACGTTCTCCGAATAACTTCTGTGTGGGTGATGCTTATGTTATTGTGGGTAAGCGGCATGGTTTCCCTGTTTGCTTTCAGGTAGCATTGAGATTTTCTAAGCTGATGCATCTTTAGATTGTATATAATACATGTATGTATATCTTTCTCTCTATTTGTTTGGCAACACACATATCAAGCATTTAAAAAAGCTTGGTTTTCCAGTTTTAACCTATAATATTAGGAAAATGCATCATCTAATTCGTCCCCATTGTTTTTCAGTTATCTATAAAGAGAAAGGATGTTCAACCAATGGATGAGAGGAATTCTGCTAATTTTGGACAAGAGACAGTTCAGTTGAGATTGGAACTTCTTAATTGGAGTTTGAGATGTATTGTTTGAAGTCTTATGCTTATGTTATTGATTGGTCAAACCAAAATTGTAGTGCTTAATTCTATTGTTGCTGGGAGAATAAATTAAAAAAGAAGTCGAGGAGTTTGTTTTATAGACCCAATGTTGTGCGTTGGTAACTATGGGTGGACAATGTCGTATCATCTTGTGACCCATTCCTTAGTTTGTAGGTGTGATTGCCTGGTGTATTATCTAATAAGATGGGTTTCCGTATAATGACATTGTTTATCTTTTATCTTCTTACTTATCTTTTTATCCTCTTACTTAAGAAGGCAAATCCACTATCAGTTTTTCAAAAAGTTTCAATGACATCATTACCACTCAGTTTAATTAGACGAGCTACTTAACCAGGTAGAATGCCATTTTAATAGTTGGAAGACATTCACATGAGGATTATGAAGAAGTATGGCAAAGTAGCTCTGTATGCACCTGATTGTGCAGTGAATAATGAGTGCTCAAGGTGTGCTTAGTGATAGTTGACTTCCAGTGTCTGAATTGTGAATACGATGACATTGAGAAAGAGGTTGAATGTTGCGAGATTTTGCTTCAGTCATTTTCAGTTCTAATATATTTTTTTCGTGGGGTTTCTGTGACAATTTTCCTCCTCGAGTTACACCATCCGGATCAGGATAGTATATATGAGTGGTGGTATTAGCCGGAACGAGTACTGGTGCAAGGTTTTCTCCCGACCATCAAGTATGGTACACTCTTTTGTTTATTTAGTTGGATAAGTTCATGACTTTGCATTTATGCTCGCTTACTTTTCTTATAGTTACCGAGCAATAACTATTAGTCCATACAAACTCAAGTTACTCCTATAGTTTGTGTTTTGATTGTCTACATTCTTAAACTTTCGGATGTTCCATCCGAACTAAGAAATGGAACATAACCCGCCGCAGAGCGCAGGATGATTACTAGTATATAAGGAAACCGAAAGAGTTTATCTATTTATATCTTGTTGTCAGATTACAACTCTGTGGTTTCGAGCCGATTCAAGTCTCCATCTCCTAAGCAGTAAATGCCCTATTTATAGCATTTACTACGGTAGGTGGCATTTAATGTGATATGACAATATGTCAGATAGTACTTGCGCGTCGACTTGGCAATGGAAGATAATACTTGTGCGTCAACTTGTCAATGCGTCCATATGCGGTTATTGGAGAAACTCGCGCATCCTTAGCCGTATCTCAAACAATTGCCTACCAATAGTAGGTAGTATTAACTGCCTCATGTTGTCCCACGTTGCTGGCGAGCTCTAGCAGGCTTCGCCTCCTCTCTGTGGATTTCTAACTTGTGGCCCTGGGGCAAAGTGCTGGTAAAAGGTGTGTAATGCTCTAGCCTAGCCTCCTATTTATACTAGTTACAAAATGAGATTTTTATTATTCCTTTTCATCCAAAGTCGGCCAAAACCTCCCTTGTACGACTTGAACTTGGATTCCTTCGACTTGTGGGTGAAGTAGGCTAGTTCTAGAAGCTTCTGGAAAGCTAGGGTGTGAGCGTCGGGTCGAACCGCCGCTGGGTCGACGCTTTGTTTGTTCGTGCAATGGGTTGCTTGTGGTCCAAGTAACTCCTCATCCAATTGGTAAAGCTTCAGCTAGTAAAAAAATCTCTCTTGAGCCTTTCAAAGTCGGGTCTGCTACACTACCAGATTTGCTTGTTTTGACCATAAAGTGAGCATCCGATGTCCAAATCCATCTTTATTTGAGCCCATGATATTATAATCTCGTCTTCCTTCCAATCCATTGGGTCCCTTGGTGATCCATATTCGTCTTGAGTGCATTATGTCCTTGAAAAGCACAAAATAACAACTAGTGCAGTCAAAATCGCGAATTTACGTATAAACGTTTTAGTGATCTAGAAGCGTCAAAACGCAAGCTTTTAAGTATTAAAGCGTAGATTTTGATTAAACTTGTAAGTGAAAAACGCGATTCAAGTGTTTGAGCGACCTAGAAGTATACAAGCGTAAGCTTTAAGATATAAAACTCGATTTTACTATATCGACAACTACAAAAGGCGTAAAATAGTACAAAACACACTCAAGCCAGACTAGTATTTTTTTTTGTTATATCATTTAATTGTGAATTCATGATTCTTGACAACCTACAATCGCAATCTTAATTACCGCCTTCATCCCATCTGTTCATAAATGTGTTTGTTATGTTAATTCATCGCGATATTCATGAACTCTGTTTTGGATAAATCAAGGTTGCATTCGATTTGAGAGTAGCTGAACGCATTTCACCTCCTTGGTTCGTTCAACGCTTGGATCTGGAGACCTCATCTTCGGACGTGCCTGATGAACACAATTGTAATGTATTTCTTGGTGGTTTGTTCTGGGCATGTCGGCCTATCATAAGCACATTATTTAAATTGTTATGGATTCCATATGAAATATAAATAGAACCATTAAAGATGCATGGATAAAAAGCAAAAATGCATCAAATATAAGAGTGATAAACACTATAAATAGATTGTCGTTACACAATTTTTTTTATCTGTGCAAAATGCTCATTTAGATTTTATTTTTCTGGAGTGATAGCACAACCGTTCTTGTTTGTTACTCATCATTAACTTTGTAGATGAAAATTGCATTAATACAACTGAAATTGGATTTCTATGGTTTAGTTGTAATCAAAATTTTACTTATCTAATTTATTTGCAACAAAAGTAATATTAGATGGTTATTGATTAGTAATATAAAATATACTTAAGTAGCATATGTGGTGTATTTAACCCTATAAACTATAAAGAGAGAATATTCATCCAGCGGTAAGGTAGTCGCTGCTCAGTCTTATTCTTCCTTCTCCGTCTCTTCCCTTTCTGGTTTTTTCTCGGAAACCAAACACTCCCGTCGCCCGCCACCCTAACTGCAATCCAATAGCCTCCGAAAAAATGACGGCAGCGGCGCCCGTAGTTCCCGACAACCTCACCAGAGACCAGTACGTTTACCTGGCCAAGCTCGCCGAGCAAGCGGAGCGCTATGAAGAAATGGTCCAGTTCATGGAGAAGCTCGTTCTCGCCTCTACTCCCGCGGCCGAACTCACCGTCGAGGAGCGGAACCTACTCTCCGTCGCCTACAAGAACGTCATCGGCTCTCTTCGCGCGGCCTGGAGAATCGTCTCCTCGATCGAGCAGAAGGAGGAAGGCAGGAAGAACGAGGAGCATGTGGTGCTCGTCAAAGATTACAGATCTAAGGTGGAGAACGAGCTCTCCGATGTCTGCGCTAGCATTTTGAACTTGCTTGACTCGAATCTGGTACCGTCCGCTGCCTCCAGCGAATCCAAGGTGTTTTACTTGAAGATGAAGGGCGATTACCATAGGTATATGGCCGAGTTCAAGGTTGGTGATGAGAGGAAGACAGCTGCTGAAGATACTATGCTTGCTTATAAGGCTGCTCAGGTAAGAAAGCTCTCTGTTTCACGATTGGACTTCGATTCAATTGAATTCGATTGAAGTTGGATGTAGATGGAGGAGAAATTGGAAACTTAGGGTTTTGCTGTTGAATGTTAATTGGTAAAGTTAATTTGGGGAATATTGATTTTGTTCTCTGAAATATTGTTAAAAAGGATATTGCTGCTGCGGATCTTGCCCCAACACATCCTATTAGGTTGGGTCTGGCACTCAATTTCTCTGTGTTCTACTTCGAGATTCTCAACCAGTCTGACAAAGCTTGCAGTATGGCTAAACAGGTGAGCTAACGATTACTCTTGTGGTAAAATTGTCAGTGCTTGAAAGTGTATGGATGGTCGATTAACCTTATTTCCAAATCTATGTTTGCTCTCTAGAGGCTAAGAGGTATAGAATTCTTTATCCTAGTAAGATATTATATTACATTTGCACGCGGATTACTACTTCCCATTATTGTTTTGTGTGAACTGATATCTTAGTTCTCACTTTATTCCGGGTAGAACGTAGGAGTATTCTGATGAAACTAGATGGTATATACATTGATACTGATTATTGTTTGGCGGATTTGGATGTAATTGGGGTTGACTTTCACATGAAAATTACCTTCAGTTTGGAAGTTGGATGCGTTTTCACATGAGAAAATATCACAAAGAAAGCCCTGAACCTAGATATGTATCCTTGCCTAGTTGCACCCATTGCTTCTTCACTTTGGGGGTTTACACTTGCACGCAATAACGAGTATGGATGAATTGGAATCAACTGATGAACACAATCCTGATGTGTCTCTCAAGTGCTCTTATAAGTTGCAACTGATAAAAGACAACCCTGCTGTGTGCCTGTGTCTTTCAAGTGCTCTTTTAAGTTGCATGCTATATTTCTCTGGAGGGTTTTTATTCAAACTTACTTATTTCGGTGCTGTATGGACGTCAACGCCCGTTTTTCCGGCCTTCTTAATGCAGGCTTTTGAGGAAGCCATTGCTGAAATAGACACATTGGGTGAAGAATCGTACAAAGACAGCACTTTGATCATGCAGCTTCTAAGGGACAACCTCACTCTGTGGACATCAGATGTGCAGGTGAGTAGCGTATATTTATCTCTTTTCGAGTGTTCGTTAACATGGAAATCCCATCCTTCAAAATCCGACTCCAAAACCTGCTTTTTCACTTGCTGCAGGAACAATTGGATGAGCCCTAGAGATGGCCGGCAGGGAATCAACTTGGGGGGAACAGTCCTAGTCTTCTTTTGTGAAGAAGGAGGTGGGCTTTGAATGTCATGTTATTCGGTGGTCCTTGATTATGACCTGAAAAGTTGTGTTTAGTTTGATGGAGAAACCTTTTGCATAAAAAAAACACCCTATGGACGAGATGCTGATTTTTCATGTATTTGAAGACCTAAAACTGGCTTTTGAATTGCAGTCAAAGTCCAAGGAGGAAGTGTTAGCTGTATGATCATGTGCCTTCCTTTTTGCTTATTATGCTTTGGCGTTATGTTCCTTTTACTAGATTCTTCTCTAGCATGGGAGATATAGTTCATCAGTCCAGCTGGACATGATTGGTTGTTTCATACCTTCCTAGTGGACGCCATTATCTACTGATAGGTGATTTTACGAAGAGGAAAGAGTTTGTGGATTTTTTTTTCCAGAAAGAATTTTTTTTTTCAAAAATACAACCCATTTCCGAAATTTTACAAAAATATTACCATTTCTCAAAACCGCCTGGTTGGAGCCTTCTCCCAACAACTCGATGGAGCCTTCTCCCAACAATTCGAGTTATTAGATCGTTTACCTGCCGTCTTCTCTCCTTCTCATCCTCTCGAGCTTCCTCTTCAAACGCAGTTCCAACCATCTATTCCCCATCTTCCTTTCTTTATATTTCCCTTCCTTCTCAGCTTTCTTCTCATAATCACCTATCCAATCCCCAGTTCAGTCTTCTTAATCCATCCAACAATTTATTTTCAGTGGCTCAAATTAGGTGACCTAGGCAGATCAATAACCCCTCTTTGCATGTTCATTCCACTGCTCTCGCTGTGGAACTTAGAGTCCTTCTCTATTCTTCTTTCTAGTTTCCTCTCTTCTTCCTGGAATCTATCCCATTTGAGCTTTCAGACTCTACACTCCACTATACGCTGATTTATCGAAACAGCAAGAAGCTACTTTATTTGGCTTGTATTAACGCCGTAAGGCTTGAATTTGGTATCCTATTTATTGGAACCTTCGGCAGGCCTTTAGCCGCCTAATGAGATCTAATTCTCATTTTTGAAATATCTTACCGTGAGCCTCCCCTCGGGAGACTAACCTTCCAATTTTCTCACTATTCTTAGTTGGTATCAACCTTCGTAAATTGCCCTTCAAGTTTACGGTTGGAAAAGAAACCAGATTTCTTATTGGAATTACTCAGTTTTAGCATATTCTCCTTCTGAATAACAAATTCCACTAATTTAATATTGAGATTAGATTCTTTTTTCCAACCCTTAACTATAACATTGGCCACGTCCAGTGCATGACCTTCTAAGAATTTTATCTAATAATACGTTCTTGGTGAAAATTTTGGGATATTAATCTCAGCTATTATCGTACAACCCGAAGCTGGTCTACATTAGTCTTCCATTGGCAAAACTATCTTTGTGCTTCATTTACCATACACAATATGATTCTATATGCCTGGAATTGCCAAGGAATAGGAAGCATTCTCACAAGGAAAAGTCTTAGAAAGCTTTACAATGTATCAGAGTCCTTTCTTTTTCTATCTGAAAATATGACAACTAAGGAAAATTCGACGAAATACCTTAAAAAGTTAGGTATCTCCTCTGTCCATGCCGTAGATTCTATAGGGCTCTCTGGTGGTCTTGCCTTCGCGTGGCCAGGAGTGCTCTCGGTCTCTGTAATTGGCTCAACTCAATTTTTCATTGCCATCGCTATTAATAATAGTAACGGTTCTCTTTATGGACGTTCTACTAATATAATTCTAATTGGGGTCTATTTAAGTTATGAGATTGCAACTCGTACAAATCAACTTCAGATCCTAATGGGATTCTGTCAGCGTTTGTCTGATCCATACTTGATAATTGGCGACTTCAACTGTACTCTTTCACCCATAGAAAAAAGGGGAGGGGCTCCTTGGAAAATGGTAAAGGTGAGACCACTACAAGATTTTATGATAGAACTTGGATTGGTAGATATTTGATACTCAGGCTCCCCGTTCACTTGGACCAATCGTGGGAGAAGCGGAGTTCTTATCGAACAACATTTAGACCGAGCTCTAGTCTCTATAGATTGGGTTGCCCTTTGGCCATTAACTACTGTTCGACATCTTGTAGATCTCGGCTCTGATCATTGCATCATTGCTTTCTCTATTGAAGATAATCTCATACAAGGACGTCGTATTTTCTATTTTGATAGTCGATGGTTAGGCAACCCAGAAGCTCTATTATTACTAAAATATGTGTGGAATCAAAATAGTATGGGATCCCTACAATTTCAGTTGTACAATCACCTGCGATGCGCCAGACATATGTTTGTTCATTGGAGGAAAGGAGGTACATCGAACTCGGCTAGAAACATTCGCGACCTAGAAGTGGCATTGAATTTAGCCAGAGAGGCCATAGCCATTAATTGGAACCTAATAAGGGAATTAGAATCTCGTCTTTCAGTCGAATATGTGAAGGAAGAGGTTTACTGGCGTCAAAGGTCTAGAGTTCGTTGGCTTCAAGAAGGAGATAAAAACACTCCCTACTTCCATATGGTAGCCAACTCTCGACGTAAAGCTAATAATATAAAAGGATTAGATGATGATAATGGAGTCTGGCATACCGCTGAAGAAGCCAAAGGTGAAATATCGATTTCTTACTTTAAGAAGCTATTTCAATCGCAAAGCCAAGGGGATATGGACCTCTCTTATTTACCGTTAACGGGAATAGTTTCTCAAGAACAAAATTCTTCTCTCACCTCTCCCTTCTCTCCTGAAGAGATACGAAAAACAATGTTCTCTTTGGGAGCATCTCAGGCCCCTGGATCTGATGGTTTCCCCGCTAGTTTCTTCCATCGGTATTGGGACGTTGTTGGAAACGAGGTGGTAGCGGCTGTATCAGCTTTTTTCACTCTTGTCGGCTTCTCCGTAGTTTTAATCATACTTGGATAGCTTTAGTACCTAAGACCACAGATGTAAGAACGATGCAACAGCTACGACCAATCAGCCTTTGTCAAGTTATCTATAAGTTGATTGCCAAATTAATGGCAAACAGGCTTGCCAAAGTACTACCGACCATCATCTCTCCATGCCAAAATGGATTCATACGAGATCGTCAGATCTTTGACAACGTACTAATTAGTCATGAGGTAACTCAATTTTTAAAAAATCATAGAAGTGGCCAACGCTTCTACATGGCCCTTAAATTGGATATGGAAAAGGCTTATGACCGAATCGAATGAGACTTTCTTCTAGAAATGATGAAGAGATTAGGGTTTGATGAGCGGTTCATTTACTGGTTCGACAATGCATATCTTCCGTTTCTTTTTCTGTCTTAATTAATGGAACACCTCATGGTTACTTTCGACCCACAAGGGGAATACGTCAGGGTGATCCTTTATCCCCTTTGTTGTTTGCTATTTGTTCGGAAGGCTTTTCAGCCTTAATCAACCAAGCGATAACAGTTCGATTCCTAAGTGGTATTCGAATTAGAGAACCTTGTCCTACGATCTCTCATCTTTTCTTTGCGGATGACTCCTTCTTATTTCTCCGAGCGACCCTAGAATCGTGTCAGATTCTTATATCGCTTTTAAATGTTTATGAAGGCTTGAGCGGCCAAAAGGTTAACCTCCATAAATCAGCAATCCTTTTCAGTAAGAATACCCAAGCGCAAGCAATATTAGACATGGCTGGGATTCTGGGAGTAGGATCAATTGGTACAGAGGATCGCTATTTAGGGTTACCAACTCTGATCGCTAGATCTAAAAGTGACACATTCCAGTTAGTTGAGGCACGAATCTCAAAAAGGCTTGCAGGATGGAAAAATATTACTTTATCCAAAGCGGCCATTGACACTCTAATAAGATCAGTTCTTTCTTGCATGCCTGTGTATTATATGTCATGTTTCAAATTTACTATCGACCTATGCAAAAGACTTAATAGACTTCTAGCCAAGTTTTTGTGGGGAGCTATGAGGCATTCCAATCACCGAGCTGCGCATTGGATTGTTTGGAAGGATATTTGTCAAAGCAAACAGCGAGGAGGCCTTGGATATAGAGACTTTAGGGTCTTCAACCAAGCTCTATTAGCAAAGCAGTGTTGGAGAATGTGGAAAAAACCTGATACCCTCGTTGCACAAATTTACAAAGTTCAATACTATGCCCAAACTTCAATTTTAGAGGCCAAGTTGGGATCTAATTCTTCTTGGGCTTGGCGAAGTATATTATATGGTCGAGAAATACTCCTTCAGGGACTTCGTTGGCAAATAGGAAATGGTGAGAGTGTCCGAGCATTATCAGACTTATGGTTGCCTTCATCACCCCCATCATACCCTAAGCTGAAAGATCAAGCTTCTGCTGAAGAGTCAATCTTGGTATCCTCTTTGATCTGCAAAGAATCCAACCAATGGAGGAAGAGTTTTATCAATGAACTTTTCTCTCCCGATTCCGTATCACTAATTTGCTCTCTTCCAATTGCTAGACACGACCAACCAGATAGGAGAGTCTGGCATTTTACTACTAACGGCGAATACTCAGTCAAAACAGGATACCATATGGGCATCACCTTGGCTTTATCACATGGGGCTAAGAGTATATCTCAGGTGATGGATGAGGGCTTATGGAAAAAAAAAAACATGGCAACTACAAATTCCCCCTAAACTTAGATTCTTCATATGGCAAGTTTTAAGAGTTATCTTACCGACCATGGCTATCCTTAAAGCACGAGATGTACCAGTTTCAGACCTTTGTCTAGTTTGTTTCCTTCATGCCGAAACATTGGAACACTTATTCTTTACCTGCCCATTAGCTACTCGACTATGGCGAATGGTAGAGTTGGAGAATATCCTTAATCACGCCGCGCAAGAAAATTTTAATACTTGGTGGCGGAGAGTAATGTACTCTATGTACAACCCATACCAGATTCTACAAGTCGTTTGTTTACTATGGAGAATATGGAAATCTCGAAATACAGTAGTTTTTGAGCATACTCAACTACTGCCATCCGTACTCGCTGCTCAATTCGCTCACCAAGTACAAGAATTCTCCTCCGCCCATCCATTTGTTCCCCCTCCCCCACCAACGGTCTTCCCATCAGTGCCTCCTTCCTGGACTCCCCCTCCTCTTGGCCATCTCAAACTCAACTTCGACGCAGCTATCCATCCTTCCCGAGGTAGTTCTACAGGCTTGGTGTTGAAGTCTGCAGACGCCCTTTTCTTCGCTCCTAGCTTTTGGACTCCAACATCCTGGGATCGTCAACCCTTACCTAGCCAAACTACTTGCCGCTCGAGATGGTTTAAACTTGATTCGTCACTTCAACCTACGAGAAGTCATCCTAGAAGGGGACTCCGAAGTCGTCGTTCGTCAGCTTCTCAGAGGGATAGAGTCAGATTCTGTTGGAGGGCCGGTGCTCAGAGACTGTCGTCAGATGATCGCTACCCTAGACA